GAGAGAGGGAGGGAGAGAGAGAGAGAGAGAGAGAGAGACAGACAGACAGACAGACAGACAGGTGGAAACAGCAATGTGAGAGAGACACATCGATTGGTTGCCTTCCACAAGCCCCTGACCAGGGCCGGGAGCCTACAACTGAGTACATGCCCTTGACCTGAATTGAACCCGGGACCCTTCAAACCGGCTAGGGCATATATTCAGTATTCTTATGCCAAAGACAAAGCTTTTAAATTCACTATTAAAGCTTGTAAAAGACCCACATGACCATATAAAGTTCTGCGAGGTCCACACTGAGAACACCTGGCCTGGAGCACTCAGCACAAGAGTTCTCCAGGATGAACAGCCAAATACCAGAGCCTCATTGCCCACCTTCCCCCCCACCTCAGATAAAGACTTTTTCTCCACTCTTCCACATGCAGACCTCCTCACCTTATAAACTTGAGCTCCAAAACCTAAAGTGCAATCTCTAACAGGGCAGTGATCTTTGTTTCTGTTACAGGAGCATCCCAAGCAACTAGAACACTGCCTGACACAATCTAGGCCCTCAATAAATATTTGTTCAAAACCTGATTGAGTAAGTGGATGAAGCTTACACAGTATGCCTGGTGAGTGATATCAGCTAGTGCTCGTTCTACTCTAATGGGGAAACAGCAGACAAGAGATTGAACTGTATTTGCTTCTATTTCCAACAGACTCATGTTCAACTTTTACACACACACACACACACAGGGAAAATTTTATTACCCCTTTCAAAAAAGGCACACGTTAATATAAAATGAATGAGTAGGTGTAAACCTCCTCTATGAAGCACTCCTTAGTCCCCTTGCAAATACTCAAAAACCCACCTGTGTGTTCCCATCCGGGAACTAAATGTTGAAACCTGCAAAACAACCCTTGCCCCACCAACCAGAATTCCAACATTCTGGAAGCCATAGCTTTAGTGAAGAGCCATAGCAAAACCAAATTCCTATCCCCTGGTTCAGATGCAGAGTGGTCCAACGTACAAGGACACAATCCCTAAATGTACACAACTAAACTACATACATATGTGTCTCGGGAGCATGCAATCCCTTCGACTGCAGGGCTTCTCCAACCTCGAAGCACAGACCACACCACCACTCCAGCCCCATTAAATCAGGGTGGGTGGGGGGAGGCCCCAGCGTTTGAAAGCTTTCCAAGTAGTTCCAAGTGCCGCCAAGTTTGAAAACCACCTCTCCAGGCCACCTCTCCGGGCACCTGCTTGCTCGCTCGTCTGTGTTTGCACGAAGAAGACCTCTGGGAAGTACCCAAGGATCTTAAAGGACATGCTCTTTTTTAGTCTCCTTCCACCCAAATCCCCCTCCCCAACATCGCGAGCCACGTGGAAGGGGCCTTCCCGGTGTCTGTCGAGGCGTCTCGGCCACCTACCTACCTTAAGGCTACAGGTTTCCTCCTCTGGAGAAGCCATTTCCTCTAGAGAGGGGCTGGCAGGGCGCGTAGGGGAGCCCCCCGACGGAAGGAAAGCCCGCGTGCTCCGGATCAGGCAGCCTTTGGCGGCAGCCCCGTCCACACCTGGGCCGGAGGACCGGGAGGAGGCAGAGGAGGAGGAGGAATCTCGGCGGCGGGTGGCGTCCCAGGACACCTCGGGCGGGCAGGCCACATCGTCTTCCTTCTGGGCTTTCAGGCGCTTGATCTTATTGTACTGTACTTATTTTCTTCTTGTGATGGTGTGAGATGAGGTGGGTGATGATACAATGCATATGTGATGAGATGAAGTGAGATGAATGACATGAAGTGAGATGAATGGCGTAAGCACTGAAATAGCATTAGGCTACTAGAGGATAACTTGAACATAAGCACTGTGATACTATAATAGTTGATCTTATAACCCAGATGACTACCAAGTGAGTAAGTGCAGGAAGCATACACAGCCGGGCCAGGGCAGCCCCGCAGGCCAGCGCCAGGAAACCGCCTTACCGACCTTTCCCCCTTCTTTCCACTGCCCATCACAGTTCTCTCGGTTCCGGAGATGCCAAAGCGCTTTGGAGGAGTCGGACCACTGCAAGGTTTACTGCCGGCTTCGGTTCGGCTTCCAAGCCCACAACGTGTTTCCGCGATCACCAGACGCTTCAGTTTGCACAACGCTACTTCGGAGACGTCAAAGCGCTTCCGGGGCTACTCGGCGCTTTGATTTAGTTTGCAATACAAAGCCCTCCGGAGATGTCAAAGCGCTTCAAAGACGACAGGCGCTTGAAGGTCTACACATGGCGGCCGGACCCGCGGCCCTGG